GAAGAGCTTTTTATAAGCTTTAAATGAAGCAAAATTACATTATTGTCGTCCTGTACAATATTTTTCCTTATATTATGCTATATATTCGATTGCAGAAAAATTTTCCTTCTGAAACAATTAAAAATTTTATTTTGGTTTAATTGATCATAAAGGTATAAATTACATACAAATTAATCATAATAACACATTTTAACAGCAAAATAAATTTCTCAAAAATGCAGCTCATATTGCTTTAAGTTACAAATTGATGAACTTTTTTTTCTCGTAAATACGCAAACATGGGAAAGATTTGTCAGACTCTTTGGGGGTCCTTTAATTTAAGTTCATAGAGATAATATCGAATTATAGTTAAGACTAACAAATCTTTCTTTGCAAAAAATATCAGTTTGCAGATAAGAATTATACTTATATATCATAAAAATTATATTCTGATTTAACAAGAAATCTACGATCATGGTGAACGCAATATAACTTTTATAGTGAAAAGAGACAAGGTTCTAGTTTAAAAAATGTTTTGTAACAATAAGGGTAACAATAAGGGTTCAAGATATATGATGCACAAAAATTGTGGAAAATGCTTGCAATAGATACAGGTGGTGTATTATTGAATAATTCAACTTACATAGCCTCACATCCTGAAAAAATAATGTCTCAAATTTACATGTATTCCAATACATTTCTATAGTAATGCTTCATTTCAAAAGGATAAAAATTGTAAATCCTTACTAGACATCTACATGTGCATAACCCCATCAATTATGCTCGAAATGATCTTGCATCACATTAAAATTTATTAATTATAACCAGGTTTTTGTATGGAAAAAAAGTTGTTTATCCACCTGTTATTTGCTCAAAGTTGAAAATGATGACATCACAATTCATATTAAAATATTTTTTATTATATAAATGTAAATAACTTGCGTTGAGAGTAAGATTTTGAAAAACCAGATTTTCGTAGAAAAGATTTTTAATCTTTTTAATTATCTCACACCCTGCCCACCCTAAATGACCTCTCCTTTGAAATTGAACTTCCGAAACATGAATTTTTACAGAACACAAATGAATATCTAAAAATGTTCTGGCTCCTACAAATAATTTTAAGGGGGATTTGAGGAGAGGGATGGTGTGTCAAATAGACTGATCAAGATATCAAAAATAAACCCCATACATATATTTTCTTTTAGATAATAACACGTTCGTTAAATTAGTTATGTAACTAAAAGTTCCTCTTCAGATAAATAATATTGCTTATCCTCTTAAAAAATAATAAAAAAAATACAGCTTTTACTGTTTGGTATCAAAGTCTGACTTCTCAATTTGAAAGATACAGACAAAACCTACTATTTTAAAGGATTGATTGATTGATTGATTGATTGATTGATTGATTAATTCGTTGTATATTTTTAACGTCCCTCTCGAGAATTTTTCACTCATATGGAGAAGTCACCGTATGCCGGTGAAGGGCTTCAAATTTATATCTTTACTCGGCACTTTGAGCAGTGGTGACTAGGTCAGTGATTTAGCCTTAAATGATTGAAGGTGTATAAACAAAGAATACCCAAATAAGTATAAATGTCACAATTTTTGTTTTTCAAAGGATGAATGAAATGTAGGGAGATAAGGAACAGTATTCAAGCTCAAAAGTCCATTAAACAATACATATATATTATTATAACAGTAACTTGATCCGAAGGGTCGTATCACGTCGAGTTGACAGGCGCGGAGCTTCAGATCTAACGAGACGCGAAGCGTCGAGTTTGATCTGATGATCCGCGCCTGTCAACGAGACGTGATGCGGCTCTTCGGATCACGTTACTGTTATAATGATAAATTTATTATATACCCCCTTATAACTAGCAAAATTTAGCGAAATAAAACTTTAGAGATCAATTGTATAACTTTTATCCATAAAACAAAGCATAATAACAAGGGACTTTTTAACGCGCAAGAAAAATAACGTCATTTTTCTGCTTCATCAGTTTTAGAGAGTGGTGATATATATGGATTCAGAAAACCACAGTGTGGTGATCCGGAAAGTCGGATCACGACGTCACGTGATTGCATAAAACCAACAGTAAAATTAAGTGATACACATTAGGTATATAATAAAAAATAAGAGCAGAGCAAACGCAGACCTCCAAAACATCAGAGGTGGGATCAGGTGTCATGGAGGAGTGAGCATCCCCTGCCGACTGGTCACACCCGCCGTATGCTCCTTGTCATGATCGGGAAAGAACATAAAAATCCGTCGACAATTCAGTGTGTAAATAATGACCTTACAATTAGTAGAAAAAAACGTCAGTCAGTATTTGATTTAATAATAAATTGTATTTGCTGACAAGGTCATTGTCATAGTCTTTGAACTTACGAAATGATGACTTTAAACAAGACTGCTGAAATTTTTACTTCATCAACTTGTTTGTCAATAATTTACCTTGCTTTAAAAATTGTTAATACGTAGAGCATGAAAGATATGAATGGTTACTAGAAAAAAAAAATTATTATATACCGTATGGTATACGAATACCCCGGACAACTCATCCTTTAAGGTTGCTTTGCTAAATACAGAGGACATAATAAAAAGTCACGGTGATCTCAAGTTTTAAATAAAAAGGAGGAAAGGGTCGATTACAAAATCGTTACTTAATAAATAAAGCCTCTGTCTTTAAAAAGAATTAAATAAATAAATGTATTTGTTACTTAGATTCTAGACGTAAAATTCGCCAAGACTGCTATAGAACCTTTTCAAAAATAAGTGAGATGTTAGTGAAAAGTTATGATTTCCCGCAGTTTATGGGAAAAGTTGAACGTCCGCAAGTAGTATCCGGTATATTTCATTTCTCTTTCAAATTTCGAAATAATTTAACCCTTTGGTTCAATTTAAATAGTTTACCAGCAGGAGACTAGAGATTTTAAACATTACATAAAGGAACATTAGTAAACATGTACTAACAGCATAGATGAGAAATGTAGATTGGATGAGATATAAAAATTAAAGGTGTATAGTTGCGGTAGGATGGCTATAAAAAAGAAAAGCTGATTTGATTTTTAATTGATGGTACGAATGCAAAACCCAGCTGAATCGCGGTCGTGTCTCTTATTGCTCTAAACCGCTTGTGGGTATTTTTTTTATTTGTATAATAAACATATTGTTTGAATGGTTTTAAATAGCTATAGTCATACAACACATGGCAATGCATTTCCGTAATGCAACATTGTATTCATTTTAACAAAAATGATATCAATGCACAATTACCGCCTTTCTTAAAAAAATAACAATTGTATTTGTAATCCTTTTATGGTTACATTCCAAAAAGGAATACACTGTATGCGCTGGAGGAGAGAAATGGAGAATGCCCTTCTCCAGGATATAACCTTACCTTTGAGATGGTCCGCAGCTCCAGGACAGTGTTATTAGACCCTTGTTGAAAACCCAGTGATCCAGAAGAAAACATGACGAAAATCGTTCCCGGGGTATACTCAAGTTCTTATATTACCTAACCAATACACAGGTACCTTTGCCACGTTAACGCTGACGTCTTCTAATGTGAAATTATGTCCGTGTGTGTGTAAATTAGTAGAGGGTTTTCATTGAGAGAAACTCTCGCTCATTGTTGGTTTTTAAAAATTATTGGGTCATTTTTAAAGATCTCGGCCCTGTACAATTATGCTTTATCATATTAAAAGGATAAAAACTTCGACATTCTTCAATCTTCCGTTCGTCTGCTACTTTTTAACAATACTGTTTTCTTAAAATATTAAAATCTACTTAATATTATATGCAATTGCAAAAAAGGGCTTAACAGTGAGGTGCATGATATCATTTTTACAAATTGACACGAAAAGCTAACACTATTTTTATTTATAATGTAGATCGTTTTTAAAACATTTTCTGATATTTTGAAATTTCTTTTCTCCTTCATTTCGAAATAGGTACGTATTCCTTTGTGTTGTAATGAGAAATGAATATAACTATTTAAAGTAACCACCCTCTATTACAATGTCAGTAAAACCTTAGCAAAATAAACAAGTTGAACTGAAAAGAGAGAGCTGGGAGTCAATTTGTTTAGGTGTAACCTGATTTTTTTCCCTTGAGTTTTAAATCAAAGAAGATTTTTCAAACCTATACTTAAATGTTGATTTCTGAGAGATTTTTTTTAAAATTTCAAGCTAAGCTTAACAACATACAACGCTTTAAGTGCATATTTATGTAGCATGTTAAAATAATTTATATAGATGCATGGTTGTCAAAAACAAATTGTTAATACCAGAATAATTTTGTGTATAAAGTTGCAATTTACAAATAAAATAAGAAAACTTGATGCGATCTAGCTGTTATTATTCAAAAGTCAAAGCATATTATATTATGTTTCACGTATAGATATTACTATTCTGCATATCATGTTAAATATTTTTTAGTAGTAAAGGCGTGGTAGGCTCCTAGTCTGAGGCATTCAAGAATGAAATCTGACAGAAAATGAACAGATTAAAGAGTATCAACTATAGTATAAAATCAATTGATTGATTACCCGGATGATTAAAATAAAAATGAAAAACATGATTATTTGATGCGACAACCTTTAGGATAGAGTAAAAAATATCTTTAAATATAAAATGATGGAAATATGGGATATTTTACCAATGGTTTTGTCAAATATGTGAATGACATGGCACAAAAAAAAATCCTCATTGAATTTTAATTGTTTTTTTTTCGCATAGAATCAAATTAATTATTATGTCTATAAGTTTTCTTTAATTACATGTATTTATCGTTCTACTCATAGAATACTGTATGCTAAAAATAACTAAATATACAAAAAAAACTAGAGGTTCTGTAAGCAGTACTGGGCACACTTAATGATACACCCGCCCTCTCGCCTCCCTTATGATTATAATGGCAAAGTCCATGTTTTGCTCTGGCAGACCAGAAATAAGCGTCAGATCAAAGAGTAAAATAGAGGGTCACAATGGCATTAAGTAATAAAGATTCTGGCTAAGTGTTATTAAATTTTTTTCAGTGCTAAAGGAATATTTGCGGATAAGATATTGAGTACTCTTCAATATTATAGAAGGAATGGCAGTGTCAATATTTTCCTATTGAAAACCTGAAATATGTGTCGGATCCTAAAGTAATAAAGAAGGTGCATAACCTATAATTTTGAAGGGTACCCATCTTTTATCCGCAACTCCTCCTATAGCACTGATGCCACTGAATATAATCATAAGGGAGGTTTAAACCTTATTTTGTATGGTTACTGTTGATTTTCTTTCGTCTGAACCTTAGAAAAATATTACTATGCTGCAAAGCATATTGCAAAGGTGCATACATAATTATCAGAAAATAGCATGATTATTCATTTTAGCTAAGGTAAAGATAGTTTATAACAATCTTTTGCATCTATGCTTTAATTTCTAACTTTCATTATATCCAAATTATCTGTTATCCCTTTTCTGACGTTCCATTTAGCTTAAATGAATGAAACTGTTGCAAAAAAGCAACGCGTGTATACTTCCTATTCTACAATGCAATAATTAACTCCCACGCTCTACAATATGTCACCGCTTATCTATAAAATTCATTGATTCCAATACTATATACAAATGTGTAAATCATTAGTAACAAACCGTGACTATATAAAAATAATGTGCGAGTATTTTTTTAGATGCATGCTACACAGATGTTAGGAGAAAAACAATTCACAGGGCATAGAAAATAACGTTTCATTTATCATTGATTAATTTAACAAAGATATCAATAATATAAATCACTTAAGGAAGTTTAAGTATGCTCTTTGTATCGAGTGTTCTCAGAAATTATCAAGAATTTTTTTTTATTTTTTAATTTTAGATCAAAGAACTTTTATGTTGGATGAAGTTTTCATAAATAATTTAAATTGAAATCTAGCCCACGGGTGGTCCATGTAACGCTTAACAATTCAAATTTCTAACATTTCTAAATGTTGATATATCAGTCTTATTAGCTTAAATATCTAAATTTCAAAAACTCAGACTGATTTGGTATATTGAAATTTAATATTCTAGTTCAAAAATCTAAAATTTCCAAACAAGATTTTAAAATTTTAGATTTTTACCATAAATGTTCAAAATTCAAATTTCAACAAAAGATTTTGTATTTTAAATGTTTGACTTTTTATTCAAGTTTGTTCAGAAAATTTACACTTAAAAATCTATAGTTCATTAACATTTTTCGTCTTTTGATTATTGAAAATTAACATCGAACTTCTAAATTTCAACTTTGAAACGTTTTAGATTTTTAGAAAATTTGGAATTTGAATTCAAATATTTTAATTTCAAAGAGCGAAAATACTTTAGTTTTAGAATTTTACTTTAGATATCCAAAATCTCAAATTTTCAAACCATATTTGAATTTTGAATATTAGTTCAATATTCTAACTATCTAAAAGCTTTTTTGCTTAACCAGAAGAGTTTTTGAAATAGTTTCAAAATTCAAACCAGGTTTGGAATTTGATATTTTGGATATTTGAAGTAAAAAACTAAAAACCCAAAATGTAACTAGAGGTACTGTGAGCAATGAGCTCACTGAATGATACCCCCCGCCTCCCATATAAATATAATGGCAGTGTCCATGTTTTATTGTGGGAATCCCAAAATATGTGTCAGATCAAAATGAAAAATAGGAGGTGCACAATGGCAATATGCAATAAAGATTCTGTGAAAGTTTTATCAAATTTCATTCAGTGGTATGAGAGGAGTTGCGGATAAGAGATGGGTACCCAAAAGCGTAACAGACAGACGGACGGACATACCGATTACTACATGTATATACCCTCACGCTTTTTTAAGCTGGGGGTATAATAAGTGTTGTTGAATATTTGAAATTTGAGTGTTTGAATCAAAGATCTTTTCGAAAATAGGTCAATATCAAAGAGTCAAAATTTGGAAGGTCCTGTTACAAGGAATGCACGTGTGAAGTTTTGATTTAACTCTTTAAAATTCTGGTCAATAACCTAGAGGTACTGTGAGCAATGAGCTCACTAAATGATACCCCCGCCTCCCTTACGAATATAACGGCAGTGTTCTTCTTTTGCTGTGGGAAACTCAAAATATGTGTCGGATCAAAAAGTAAAATAGGAGGTGCACAATGGCAATATGTAATAAAGATTCTGTGAAAGTTTCATCAAATTTCATTCAGTGGTATGAGAGGAGTTGCGGATAAGAGATGGGTACCCCATAGCGTAACAGACGGACTGACGGACGTACAGACGGACAGACGGACGGACGGAAATACCGATTACTATATACCCTCCCACTTTTCAAGTGGGGGGTATAAAAATGTAGACTAAACAAACTGTAATCAATCTCTTGTATGGATGGTTGTTTAGTTTTTGCTTTGTCCGTCCGTCTGTCTAGCTGTTTGTCTGTTTGAGTGTTTGTCCGTAAATAGATCTTGCCCATAACGGTTGGATGAAGGAGTATATATGGCTTTCATATTCACAGATGTATTCCTCGTGACAAGACCTTTCCTTTGGTACCAATTTTTTTTTTTACCTCTTTACTCTGGAGTTTGACCCCCTATTGATTAATTTTACCATTGATAATTTTATACCCCCCGCTTGAAAAGCAGGAGGGTATATAGTAATCAGTATGTCCGTCCGTCCGTCTGTTACGCTTTGGGGTACCCATCTCTTATCCGCAACTCCTCTCATACCACTGAAGGAAATTTAATGAAACTTTCACAGATTCTTAATTACATATTGCCATTGTGCACCTCCTATTTTACTTTTTGATCTGACATTTATTTTTGATTTTCCAGAGCAAAACATGGACACTGCCATTATATTCATGTGGGAGGCGGGGGTATCATTTAGTGAGCTCATTGCTCACAGTACCTCTAGTTTATAGGGGACTACCATTCGAAAAAATAATCTGTATTTCAGCGACATAAATAAATTCAGTCCATAATATCATTTGCCAGCCCCACCCCAACCCCGTCTAATGGACGTTCCCTTAGTGCGAAGCCACCATAGGGGCTTGTCTTCCGGATTGATCAATGTAAAATAATTTTTTAAAATTTTGTATCTACATTAAATACACTCTAAAAGTTGCTTTAATAAAGATTCTGACATGATCAGGCAAGAAAAATAATGTTTTAAAAAAAGTACTATACCTATATACATAAACTCTCAAAGGGACGCAAGCTGACATCTTGGAAAAAATACCCCTTCCCACTTCAGCACCTATTTCTGGACTCTAAGGCATTAATTTATTTCGTTGCCGCAGTTCTCTTCCCTACAGTGATGATTTTCCTAAATGTTGATGCGGTTGTCAGTCGTGAACACGCGTTTAATCAACAGAAAACGGATACAATTTCTTCGATTTGGAGCTCATCTCGCTGAATCGACCCAAAAAGAACGGAAGTTGACAAAATTGCAAGGGCAGATAATACGGAAAACTCATAGGGTAATCGAAAGCAAATGGTAACACCAAAGGACTTCCAGCTTCGCGGAAAAAATGTTTACCGACAAGAAAAAGACAGTGAAAACTGATAAATACGGGCTAAAGTTTGGTTTCACAGGCTAAATTGTCAAGACTCATTTAATATATAAGTAATTTGTTGCATAATTTACAAGACACTTGCTCTAAAAGCGCACTATATGCTATACCACGATTATTGCCCTTGCGTCGTTACCATGCAACCCAATCGCATCATCTCGGGTCTTTCCGTCAGAGCTCGGAAAAACAACCTCGAATTTAATTAAGGTAAGTCACTCGTCAGCTTTTTAGAAAAGTTCACGCAGAAGCTTTTACTTTAAAACTACTTATTAAAATTCAATTTTTATAACATATTTAAATTCAACAATGTAAATTTTTTAACATTCAATGAAAAAACTGCTCAAAATTCTACAAAGAAGCAAGATTTATGAGGGACTATTTCTTTTGGTGGAAGGATATTTAGCAGATACTTCTGCAAATCTGCACATTTATAAAATTTAATGTAATGGAAATTTAGCCTCACATAATTTTATTCGGAGAATATTTTCCGTTTTGATATTGCTAAAAATATTTAATATAGGTCTTAATTTATACTTTTAGACCAAGTTTTACACCTTCGCTCAACAAACTTTTCCAAAAAATGAAAATATATTAAAGAAGTCAAGATCAAATTTACACCATTTTTTGCCTGAAAATCACATATTTTGACAAATATTTCAAAATTAACATCACTGACCCCACCTTTTTCTTTCATTATTTTAAACTACTCGATACTTGTGACTGATCATGCAGCACTTAAGTCGTAAAAAGTTTGATATAAGAAATTTTTTTATTGCCTATTAAGACTTTTAATACCCCAAATATGTTATTTTTTAGTGCAAAAAGGTCACACAATAATTTACGCGCAATAATTTGCAAGATTTGTTTACTGATAAATATAATTCAAACTATTTTACGTAAAATAAGATTATATTTATTGCCATGCTTACATCTGATCAAATATAATAAGGGTTAAAGGTACTTGGACACAGATTTGAAGTTATTATTTTCTCTATATTATTACGACTTATATATTTTAATAGCATTTCACACAAAAATTAATTAAAAATCTTATTTTGTTGAAAAGAGATTTTTTCGGCGGGTTTGATTGAAATATCCTTGCACTCTCACAAATTTAATTTTATTCATAATCTTAGGAAAAGTGGCAATCTCGTTTTGTATAAATGAAAAATATTAATACTATAATCCAGAAAATTCAGAGTACCCGGTATATATGTTCGAAAGCAAAACAAACACACAATGTATTGTCAGTCCGTGCAGTTGTGGTAAGCAGACTGTGACGATTGAACGCACCCGGTGAATTCTAAATATAAACAATAACAGAACTCGAGCCCTGTTTACAAAAACTGTGTACATAACACGAGTGTGCTCGATTTGCTAAACTCTGTACGCATCTCTTAGTTCGGAATACTTGTGAAGGTGTTTTGCTTTCTAACATTTCTACTCTGAATAAAATTATTTTTCTTGATAAAAGTTTTAATATTTCTCATTAAAACACATCAAAATTGCCACTTTTCCTAAGGATTAAGAATAAAGTTAAAATTTGTGAAAGTGCAAGGATGTGTCAATCAAACCCGCCAAAAAATTTAAAGTTTTAATAACTTTTAAATGAAACTAGAGGTACTGTGAGCGATGAGCTCACTAAATGATACCCCCCGCCTCCCATATGGTTTTAACTGGTGAAAAAGTGATGTTTTCCTGTGGCCGGGAAACCCAAAATATGTGTCGGATCAAAAAGTAAAATAGGAGGTGCACAATGGCAATATGTAATAAAGATTCTGTGAAAGTTTCATAAAATTTCATTCAGTGGTATGAGAGGAGTTGCGGATAAGAGATGGGTACCCTAAAGCGTAACAGACGGACGAACGGACAGACGGACGGACGTACAGACGGACGGAATTGATGAAAGAAATACAATTATTATACATTTTTCAAGCGGGGGGTATAATAAGATTTTTAATTAATTTTTGTGTGAAATGCTATTAAAATATATAATTCGTGGTATTATACAGAAAAAAATGAGAAAATATTAACTTCAAATCTGTGTCCAAGTACTTTTAAAGTAAGTAACCAAAGAGATGAAATTTAAGTGCAAAAAGGTCAACTTAAATGTACCGTAGATCAGTAGGATGCACACTGACCCCCTATTTTCTTTGCGATTTTGAGTTACACTTTATGAATACTTATCCAAAATATACTTCTCTAAAAATCCTTGATTTAACAAATTTCAGGAGTGACTTACCTTAACATCACCGGATGTTAAAAATTTATACATTTCCTGTTTATTCAAATATAGGATAGACGGATTTAGAGGTCCCTTCTATAGTATATTTTAGCTAATATCATTATATTATATAAAGTTAAACTCCATAATCCTCAGATAAAAGGTCTCCATGCATTTTTTTCAAAGATCGTGAAAAGGGAGGGTTGTCATGGCGTCTACCATAAATTCGAGGTCGTTTTTCCGCTATTTAAAAGGCTTTGCGATTGCATGCAACCATGTCAACTTCTGTTCATATATTTTTGAGCTCCAAAAGAAATTGTACCCGTTTTCTTTTTTAAACGCGTGTTCACGACTGACAACCGCATCAACATTTAGGAAAATCATCACTGTAGGAAAGAGAACTGCGGCAACGAAATAAATTAATGCCTTAGAGTCCAGAAATAGGTGCTGAAGTGGGAGGGGGTATTTTTTCCAAGATGTCAGCTTGCGTCCCTTTGAGAGCTCATTGTCAATTCCGGAAGACAAGCCCCTATGGAAGCCACAGGCACCTGACGTTACTTATTAATTATACCCCCCGCTTGAAAAGCGGGAGGGTATATAGAAAGTTTTTTACCGTCTTAAACCGTCTGTCCGTCCGTCTGTTTCGCTTTGGGGTAATTTTATCCGCAACTCCTCTCATACCACTGAAGGAAATTTAATGAAACTTTCACAGAATCTTTATTACATATTGCCATTGTGCACCTCCTATTTTACTTTTTGATCTGAATATATTTTGATTTTCCATAGCAAAACATGGACACTGCCATTTTATTCATATGGGAGGCGGGGGGTATAATTTAGTGAGCTCATTGCTCACAGTACTTTGAGTTTATATCTAACCCCCGGCTTTTTTGAAAAGTGGGAGGGTATATAGTAATCGGTATGTCTGTGATTAAAAATTTTCTCTCCCATCTCTTATCCGCAACTCCTCTCATACCACTGAAGGAAATTTAATGAAACTTTCACAGAATGTTTATTACGTATTGCCATTGTGCACCTCCTATTTTACTTTTTTTATCTGACATATATTTTGGATTTTCCAGAGCAAAACATGGACACTGCCATTATATTCATATGGGAGGCAGGGGTATCATTTAGTGAGCTCATTGCTAACAGTACTTCTAGTTTTTCATTTCATAAAAAAAATATTTCCCTTACTTAATAATAAGATAAGGGGTATATTTTTTTATTAGAAGAAAAAAAACGTAGCGTTAGGTGCCTGTATGCAAAGACTAATGCTGAAAAATTCTCATGTAATCAAATTTTAAACGTGTGAAGCAAAAAAAGAATATTCCTAATCTGTGGTCTATTGACATTCCTTTGAACGAGTTAACTTTATTTTCTACTTTCAATTTCTTTACTTCCGATTTAGCCATGTGAGTTTGTTTACAAATTACAAAATCTTATTTTTCTTTTAAGAATTTGATCAATATTTATTATTTATTCAGGTTAAATTACTCAAATCAGATACTTAGGCCTACATGTAACATACAACTACTTTGAAAATATGGTTCCAATATGACGGTTCGTGTCCTATCACTAGATGTAGTTACCTACGTGGATTGACATGTACAGATATAAGGCTAAGCTATCTTAATTATGCAACTCAAAGTAGCGTAATCTAGCCAATAGATCATACCTTTTTTTCCCAAAACGAGCATTGTTTTGGCATGTTTAAAAATGACACCTTTGTGCATGATTCTTTTCAACTTATAACACAGTAAAACATTTGTTGACATGATAATTGATTGGTTATAATTAGGGATGTCAACGAATATTCGAATATTCGAATATTCATTCGATGAGTTGATATTCGAATATAAATTCATGATTCGAATATTCAGATTTTAAGTATACAAGCACCAAAAAGAAAAAAAAAATCTGGCAAAAACGAAGTTTTATCAGAAAATGAATCAAATTCTTGACCAATAATAAGATTTTATCTAAAACAAAATAAGGACAATCCCCTTGGATTACCTTAAAGGTGTGAAAAGTGTGTCTATTAAAATAATATTTATTCATTTGATCATTTAATTAGAGGTAGAACAGTGTCCAGTACTTAGAATTAGTTTGTATTGTTTAAAGGACACAATTTTGTTTATGTAAATATCATTTAAATCATTATCAGGAAATTAATAAGCTCAAAGTAATTGCTTTTAATGTCTTTCCACTAGATAATTGTTATGTGTGGTATAAATCTGTAGGGTTATCAGTGTGCACTTTGGTAAGATAATTAATTAATCTGGAACTTATTAAAAGAATATTTTGAATTTTCGGCAAATATAAAATATTCAGATATTCTTAAAATATTTTAAGAATATAATTAAAGTGCATTTACAAAACTCTACATGAAATTTTAATCTAAAATAATGATATAAAACGTATATATTGCTTGATGAAGATATATACATATTATAATGCAAGATGTATTTATTTTAACATTTATATTCGTTGACATGATATCAATTATTGACAATTTTGACATCCCTAGTTATAATTCAGTATAATGCCAAGTAATCAAGTGTATGTAAGACATACATGTATACAAACTTGATCTCCTTTCATTAAAAATAAACTATGCTAATGCATTCTTATTTTTCTACATCATGAATGTTGCCTCATGTTTGCCTAATTGAGGTTTTTTTCAGCACAAAAAATGGCAAGTGTTGATGACAATCTAAGTTCTCACCTTCAAAGTCTAAATCTGAGTGAAAAATCTGCTATAGCTCTAGAAAAGGTGGAAGAGAACTACATATTAGATGTTGCAGTACAAAAAAAGTAAGTACATGTAGTTTCTGATTTCAACAGCAATTATGATAACATGAAAATCAGTCCTTCTGGCATTAGATGATTAAATATAACAAACAATTATTGATATTTCACAGCTCACCTGTTTTCATAGATTCACAAAGTATTATTGGTGACTTTAAATTCAGAGTGCTCTCTATTGCCCTCCACATTTTACCTCCTAATCCCCCCTCTATTTTTTGCAAAAAGGATTATAAAATTCTTTTAACCAGTTTACAAAGACATTCTCCCATTTCATATTTTATTTGCTAGAAACTAATAAGATTCATCTGATTTTCTGATATGCATGTATGATTTGTATCATATGTAAATTAAGGTCATATTGCTGATAATTAAATACATGTACATTCATTTTTATGTAATGGCAGAATTCAGGTACCGGGGGTACATTTTTCAAACTATTATAAATTCAGTAAAAGATTTCCCCCTACATGTATGAAATTTTATTCTTAAGACAAGGAGATAGGAAACTGGTAGCTGCCACAAGTTCAAATCATGACATTCGACTTTATCAGCATGCTGACTTGTCTGTGGTTGGTAAACTGACAGGTATGAGAATCTTTAATTATTGATTAATTAATTAACACATTACGAGGACATATTTTTGTTATGTTAGGTTGTTCAATAGCTGTTGGTTACACAATGATATATGGTAAAAAATTTCCAACAGTTGATGATGTAAACTTAAGTATATCCTTGTCCATGATGTAGATATTAATTGTCTTGAGTTTGACTGTCAATATAATTTAAGATCAGTGTTAATTGCTAGATACAGAAAATATGTTGATATTAATCATTATCATACTTGCTATTGTTCAGTCAATCATTTTGTAACTTGGTTTAAAAAAACAAGTAAATTCATATCTTTTCTTAGCCATTCCATGAGGTGTGTTTTCATATTGATTCAAAGCATGTCCTCAAAGTCATATGCTACTGGCCAGCGTTATTTGGGAAAAAATTGTTTGCTTTTTTTCAACTAACTTGAAAATGAATATTCATTATATGATGCATAAAAATGAAGCTATGTATGTTTTTATAATTTTCCAGGCCACACCGATGTCATAACTGGGATTCAGTTTGCAAACACAGAAGATAATGTCCTATTTTCATCTGCTTTGGATAAATGTATCAAGTAAGAAAATCTGTGAGGTAAATTTTTAAATCTCTACTTTCTGTGTCTGATTTCTGTAGATTCCTAATTATACGCGAGAAATTAATTATCGCGTAATTTCGCTATAAGCATCACTATCGAAATAAAATAAAATAAATATTTATTTATATGGTGCCGAAATACATGTAAATTAACTCGATCAACCATCAAATCACGAATTATTATTCTCGCGATTTGCTGTTCAATAGCCATTTCGCTATAAAAAAGTGTTCGCGAAAAATAAGGAATCTACAGTACTTAGAAATGAATAACTTCCATTTCAAGGTCAGTTCAACTTCATTTACAGGGATTTTTTTCTCCAGAATAAATCATATTTATAAATGTTTCGAAAGTATCATTTATTTAAGATGTTAAATTTTACAACGCATTCATAATACATTATTATATGTGTAAACACTTCTGCTATCACTTTAATGGAAATATTTACAGACTTCATTTAGCTAATGATTTCTCATAACAGATGCTGGGATGAACGGTCAGGAAAATGTGTCCAAAATTATGAAGGTATCTTTAAAGTTTTCCCTTAATTTTTTTCCATGTACCTTAATTTGTATGGTTAAGTAATGTGAGAGAGTGTGCAGTTCTGTTTATGTGCTTTTTAGCAGTAATAATATTATTTAAATGTATTTTATTTGCTCTTTGCCCACATATTCAAGCACTTGCACATATCAGTTCTTGATAAAATATGTGCCAGAACTATATATCTTATAAAGCACCAGGAGAGATCAAAGGATTTAGCAGTTTTGATATCAACAGTAATGACAGAGTGATTGCTGCTGGAACAGAATGTTTAACTACAGCTGAGGATGTTCACATTATCTTCTGGTATCACTCATTTTAAATAATTAGTACTTTCAATATTGTTTTGGAATACCCTTTTGGTTTTAAGATTTACTAGCTCATAGAATTTTGTCAATCAAAAGTATAAATACATGTCATTGAACATTTACATATATAATGTTAAGAATTTCTTTTAAAAAGTCAAAGAAAACACTATAACAGACAAAATCAAGTCATAAATTTCAATCAATAAAAAAATATTTTGAATGCTATATCAAAAATTAAGTTATATTTTATTGAATAACCTAGGGACAGAAGGAAAACAGATGTAATGGGCTCGTACAGTGAAAGTCATCAGGATGATATTACACAGGTACATGTATTATATTAATTCATTAATTACATGATGAAACTTGAAATAGTATGTTGCCTCATAATGTAAGGATTTTACACTAGGGTAGGCAGTTAAGAGTTATTTATATCAACAATGGCTCCTTTTCTTCTGAAAGAAAAACTAATGGGACAAATTAATTCTTTTGAATTTACTGTTAACCAACTATTATTTGTATCAACTTTTATTTGCAATTTGTCAAATTGAAATCGTTCTGCATTGATTAATTTTCGCAACTGAGGAAACATTCTCAACAAATACAAAGCAAAAGGTATGGATCGCTGCAATTATTTCGTGTGAGTTAATGCATGTTGCGAAACTTTGCAGATAATATTCATGCAGACACAAATAAAAGTTGGATTACAGTGTTATTTTGAAATTATTTTCACATTCTTGGCTGCAAGGATTTTGATTTTATACTTATTTTCTAAAAAATGCACATATAGCTACGAGTAACTAAGTTTTTGAAAAAAAAAATGATTTAAATTGCCTTTTCCTACAGGTCAAATTTCACACTAATCAGCCAGATAATCTGGCCACTGGGTCAACTGATGGTCTAGTCTGCGTGTTTGACATTTCTCAGACATCAGAAGATGATGCCATTTCATGGACGTTCAATGCAGAGTCATCTGTGGTTTGTATTGTTTTCCATATCTGAGCTTACCTTTGCCCATAAAACAAATTCACTCACACTGAATGTATAAGTATTATTATACAGAACTATTTATTTAATGTAATTGAAACTATAAGTCAAAATTTGTTGTCTTATAGTTCAATTCACTGTATTTCCAGTTAAAGGTTTTATAAATGACTTTCACACGTTCCTTTTGATAATGCTTCTTTATCTAAATAAATATATTTGTAAATACACATTTTATAAAGAAAATATACCTCCTTTTAAATAATTCTCTTTTTCGCCCCTAACTCTGTTTTTTAGGATAACATTATTTAATATTAAAATTTTAATAATTTTATTTTCGAGGGAATTTTAGGAACCATTATTTTGAAAGCAGTATCATATCTAGCATTTCCACAAATTGGTTTATTTTTTATAATTTAAGTCCTGCACTTGACATTGTTACACTTAATTTAGATGGTAAATCAAACCAAAATGTTTAGATATATTAATATATGAATTATTTTGCTACAGGTTTGATTTTCATGTTTACCTTTACTTTACCAAATTGCAGCAATTTAGTGGAGCAAGATGGTTGAATTGTCCCCAGTTAGAATAACAATAATTATGGTCCTCCGTTTTAATTATTTCACAATATGTTACAGTTGTTACTTGACACAGATTTTGAAAGGGATAATTAATTTACAGTGTGCTTATACACAGAGTTAGATCAATACATGTATGTATGGATTTAGAGTCTGATGATAAAACAAGTTTTATAGCAATATTTCAAGTTGCAAGTTTCATTTATCTTGTCATGCTTTAGTCTTTATAGTCTTTAGTCTTTATAATTTATCCTGTTTATTCCAGTTTAATGTAGATTTTTTTTTTCAATTCAATGACATTAACAAATATTTCTGAATTTTATTCCAAAGAAATCAGTTGTTGGAATATTTTAAAATAGATTTTTACTTAACTTTATTGAGTTTAAAATGTTTACAAAAATTTAACTGGTTGGTTTGATTTTCTCACCATACACAGAGGCTGGTAAAAATTGTGTTGCACTTTTGTATCAAAAGCTGATATGTACTGCCAGATAGTGTTACATATTTGTACCAGATGCTACTGTGAAATCATTAATTTTCATTGGGGAGCTATATATTCGTAAATTTCGTGGGTTACCCTTATCCACGAATTTACCTCCACACGCATAATTATTTTGTCAACATGGTTATTCATTGAATCTTCAGTATATGTGAGTTGCCCACGAAATAATGTCTTTCCACGAATATTGGCCGTAGAAAAATTAAAATGATCTTAAGTTGTTCTTTTCTGCCAAATGGAGGTACACACTGGAAGCTGGTATATACTGCAAACGTGTTACACATTTGTACTAGAAGCTTGTACATGTATATACTGCCAAACAGTGTTACACACTTGTACCAGAGGCCGGTATATATTGTTCACTAGTGTTATTTCTTCTAACTGGATCTCTAAAATTAGAACGTAAAACTAAAATAATGGGAATAAAAGTAAAATTAAAAATCCATGCCAATAATAATATGTAGAATATAATGTGGGCGGATTTTTTGGCGGTTTCCAACGGAAAACAAAAGAGCATTATCAATGGAATCAAGTTAAGTAACCAAGAAAACACATAAACAGCTATAATCATAGACACAGTTATTGTCATTTTCTTGGTGATCCCTCTTGCTCCAAATGTATTTTTTAAGGCACGCATTTTCAGAATATGAAATAAGATTACCAAAACAATGGGAATAGCATGCAGGATTTGTCGTTTGATGTGTCTTGACTTAATATCTCCTAAAAAGTCCGTTGCAGCCAACAGGTTTTCCGTGCGCAATTGTAGAGAAGCACAGATTGATAAGCCGACGAGGAAAAGGACAATGGAAACGATGAAGACAGTCTTGGGTTTGATGTATTTCAAAGTTTTCAAAGGATATCTGAGAAGCAGAAGTCGTAAACCTGCTAACTGAGCAACATAGAAACCGGATATTGTTATGGTGGAAGTAGAAATGATTGTTGCAGTATTGCATTTTAGTAAACATTTAACGTTTTCTTCTACATTGTTTAAATGGACGTTAAAAAATATATATGTTATTATCATCGAAATAAAATTTGCCACTGTCAAAATCTTCATCATTGTCACTGTGGCGGTTGGGTTCACACGGCTTGAAAAGACTCTATAAATGGAGAGTCCGTTGGTGACGAATCCAATCAGAGCTAACAATGAAGCAGTTATTCCAAGGACAAATGAAACAAGATCTGTTGTGCAGTACCACATAGAGTCACTCAGATGTGCAGTAGAACAGCTGGGAAAGAAAGCAATTATATCTTTCACTGAATGAACCTCCTCTTCAGACATGTTCCGGCCTCCTGGATGATTTGCTTGTATTGTATCATTGCCGTAAACGGAAGTATATGTTGAAGTTTCGTTGAAAAATGTCATTTTATCACTCCTTTGGCCAACTTACATCACAGGTATCCAAAACAAATCAAAGCTTTAACATATTTAGAGTTCATAATCCCTGATAGTAACGGGAAAAGCAATACCTTAAGTGATGCCAGTATTGAATTATGCCGTTAATGTGCAAATAGGAATGGCCCATGACAATTGTGGGAAATTGGCATGTCTGAAATAATACCACAAAATCAATTTGTAATCACAGTTACTCGCACGTGGACATCTAATGGTTGTACTTTAATTGCAAATAAATCATCATTCAACTTCAGACTCCACATCAAAAGTGAACATTCAACGTTATACAGAAGCTATTAAAATGTCAACAATGATCTGATCACCCCAAAGTGCTCATTTTTCAAGAATTGTTAATTTCAGCAATCAAATTTCTTAAAATAAGCTCTTCATTGTCTTTAGTAGATAAGATGTACTAATGTATGAGAAGACATATAAGCTATCATAGCTGGTATATACTGCCATAAAGTGTTACACACTTGTACCAGATGCCGGTATATATTGTCCACTGGTGTTATTTCTTCTAACTGGATCTCTAAAATTGGAACGTAATACTAATATAATGGGAATAAAAGTAAAATTAAAAATCCATGCCAATAATAATATATAGAATATAATATGGGCGGATTTTTTGGCGGTTTCCAACGGAAAACAAAAGAGCATTATCAATGGAATCAAGTTAAGTAACCAAGAAAAAACGTAGACAGCTATAATCATAGACACAGTTATTGTCATTTTCTTGGTGATAACTCCTGCTCCTAGTGTATTATTTATGGCACGCCTTTTCAGAATATGAAATATTATCAACAAAATGATGGGAATAACATACAGGATCTGTCTTTTGATGTGCCTTAACTTATATTCTGCTAAAATGTCCTTTGCAGCGAACAGGTTTTCCGTGCACTGTAAAAATTGTGTTTAGGATTTAAACACTTCCATGACGTGTTTAGATCTAAACATGTATAGAAATATGTTTAACAACGAAACACTTATGTCTAAACATGTTTTATATCTAAATGTGTTTAGAAATTAAACACGTTCTGCTGTAAAATGCAGAGTTATCTTCCCGGAAATGACACAGATACTCGTATATTTGAACGTTATTTTGAGCGGCCATCGAAACAAAGTAAATCACAAAAGGCTGAAGAGACGTATCAAGGAGAGATACTGACAATCCAACGGATAACCATGAAGAAATATTGAAAATCATTTGAAAGGCATCTTTTTACTGCAATATATTAAAGGTATGTTTTCTTTTTATTAAGATTTGCATTATTAAACCACGATGAGCAATGTAAACAGTGCCTTTGAGGTCGTTTATAGACTTGTAGGATAGGAGGTTACTAGTATATTGAATTTCATTAAAAATAACTATTTTAATTTAAGTATAGTTCCAATTCGACTTGAAAAACTGATGTCATCTTCAATGGGCAGCATACGGTACTTTTACTTAAATCTGACTTTCTTTCCTTCAGGTTTTGTGAGTAGTCCAGATTGAACTCAAAGCATGTATGTATCAAAGTACCTGCATCTGTGCATGGCGTCATCTTCAAGTGCAAATTGTTGTTCCATGATCAACACCAAGAAACGTATTTTTATGAAGTGTATTGGGTTACCCTTAATTCAAAAATGTTCGGTGGATTTGAATACATGTACCTAAAATTGTCATTTTGTGATTATCCTTGTGCATTTGAAATGGATTACTTTTCGACAGTTTAATACTGATGGGATATTTTATCATGTGGTGCTATGTGGTGCTTTAGGACTGCTGAAGTTAATCAAGTTTGACATTTTGATGACTGACATATGGAACACTCTGCAACCGATTGACACTGTAATTAATCATATTCATAATATTATATACAATAAATATTTTATAATTTTAATTGAAATATCTTTAATAATGCATTATTAAAAAGATTAAAGGAAGTTTTGATATAAAATTGCTAGCTTATTTTTATTTTTGTTGCTCATACCTGCGTTATAAATATAATGTATGTCATGCTGATTGAACTTATAGAGATCAAAATATTAAATTTGTGTAAAAAGAACATCTACATATCTAAACAATCAGAGGCCTTATGATGAATAATTTATATCAGTTAATATTTTGACAATATTATGTGTATTAAGTAATATGCTCTTTGTGCCAAAATTATAACAACTGTTTATAGTTTTTCTGCAGTTACACTTGTTTTAATATGTTAAATCTAGATATGTTCAATTTCTAAGCACGTAATTAAGAAACGTGTTTAAAATTCAAACACTTTTCTAAGCACTTTTTTGTCACCTTCTTTTTTATATGTTTAATTCCTAAACATGTAAAATTTCTAAACATGTATTAGAAAGTGTTTAGAATCTAAACACTTATGTGCTTCCATTTGTGTTTAGAAACTAGTTTAGAAATTAAACATATAAAAAAGAAGGTGACAAAAAAGTGTTTAGAAAAGTGTTTGAATTCTAAACACATTTCTTACAGTGTGCGCAATTGTAGTAAAGCACAGATTGCTAAACCGACGAGGAAAAGGACAATGGAAACGATGAAGACGGTCTTGGGTTTGATGTATTTCAAAGATTTCAAAGGATATCTGAGAAGCAAAAGTCGTAAACCTGCTAACTGAGCAACATAGAAACCGGATATTGTTATGGCGGAAGAAGAAATGATAACTGCAATTTTGCATTTTAGTAGACACTTAACGTTTTTCTCAACATGGTTTACATGAACGTTAAAAAAATATATATGTTATTATCATCGAAATAAAGTTTGCCACTGTCAAAATCTTCATCATTGTCACTGTGGCGGTTGGATTCACACGGCTTGAAAAGACTCTATAAATGGACAGTCCATTGGTGACGAATCCAATCAGAGCTAACAAAGAAGCAGTTATTCCAAGGACAAATGAAACAAGATCTGTTGTGCAGTACCATACCGTGTCACTCAGTTGTGCAGTAGAACAACTGGGAAAGAAAAGCATTATTTCTTTCACTACATGAACTTTTTCTTCTGACATGTTTCGACCACCTGGTTGATTTGCTTGTGTTGTATCATTGCCGTAAACGGAAGAATATGTTGAAGTTTCATTGAAAAACATTTTATCAACCATCTTGTGAAGTTTCATCACAGGTATCCAAAAGAAAATTAAAGCTTAAACATATTTAGAGTTCATAATCCCTGATAGTAACGGGAAAAGCAATACCTTAAGTGATGCAAGTATTGAATTATGAATTATATCGTTAATGTGCAAATAACAACGGCCTATGGCAATTATGGAAAATTAACATGTCGGACCTAATGCCACAAAATCAATTTGTTATCATAGTTACTCGTACGTGGACATCTAATGGCTGTACTTTGATTGTAAATAAATCATCATTCAACTTGAAACTCCACGTCAAAAGTGAGCATTCAACGTAATGCAGGAACTCTTTGAATATCACCAATGGTCTATTCATCCCGAAGTGCTCACTTTTCAAGAATCGTTAATTTCAGCAATAAAATTGCTTTGAATAAGCATTTCAATGTCTTTAGGAGATAAGATGTACTGTTGAAGGAGGAGACATATATATGAGCTACTGCTTTCACTTTGGAACATATTATATATTGATTCATGTTTTAAGATTTGACATGTTCAGACATATTCCTTTTCAAAGACATTGCTTTCTCATGATTTTTTTAAAAATTTCATTTTGATCGTTTTCTTTTGCTTGTATTTAGTCGAGCTTATTGTTAAACTATTTCTAAAACTCGTAGATTTTAGGTGAAAAGGATTTACGAATAACAAGCATTCAATCAGCAATTGTTTAAATATTCTTGTCAATTAATCGTTAACATTTTTCGGTCATCAAAAAGTAAAACACTATTGGCATGATTAAATTCACCTTCTTTTTAGTCCCAATGATACAATGTTGAACTGTCAGGCTTGAGAAGATATCTTGTCCCTGTACACCGGGCCCTCTTCCGAATGTGTGAAATGGCGTCAGGGTTCTTGAGTTAGGGTGGGGCTTCATTGAATATAACTAAAGTGAAAAAATAAATTCTCTTTGAAAAGCGCTTTTTTCTCTCTGTACATTTAGCAGACATATTGCATGGTAATGATTAGCAGGAGTGCCGTATTCAAAATTACATAGGGTTTTGATCTGAGAAAAGCGCTTAATACATTATTTCTACGAAAATCATCTTGTCTGTCCCTTGTAGATTAAAAAAAATAACACATGTAAATGTATTAAGGTAGGATTCTTCTCTGGTTTCTGGCTAGATGGAATATTCAAAGTACATTTGTTGATATGTCATATACAAGTATTTAGATGTAAGAGGTTTAAAAGACCACATTTTTCTTTCCTCATCACAATTATACAACTTTAAATAGAAATGGTAAACTGCGTTTGAAAACTAGCAGAGACTATATTTTGGCGGAATGGTGGCGTATGAAAATTTCTTCTTTTTTCCTGCCTCTCAAAATTATTATAGAACATTGAATTAAGTTATAATTTTTACGCAATCAAAGACTAGACAAAATTTTCAAATGTAAGTTAAATTAATAATAAGGGACTAAAGTTTCAAAATATATCAAATAAATAAGATTTTTCACACATACTAGAAGTTGGCTTTTAAATGCTTCAAATCTAAGTACAGATTTGAGCCAAAAATCCGTAAAAAGTGTTATTTCTCTCTTAGTAAACGATCAAAACTTTTAGTTTTTGTATCATTTTGTACCTTTATGTGACAACTTTACTATATGTGAAAATTGGAAAAAGTTAAATATAGGAAGCATATAAAAATAACTAATAAATCCTAAAAATTTAAGAAAAGTAGAGGAAATTCGGATTAGCAAATATCCATTTTATTTAAATTATCCATGTCAATTTGGTAATATCATCTTATAGGCCCTATAAGGTTGTATCTTTTTATGCAAAAAGAAAAACATTCAATCTTTTGAATTACAAGTAGGGATCGCATGATTGGAAACACTAATTTTTTTATTCTTAATGTCCAGGAAAAAGGTAATGACCTTGACCTGACCTTGCCTCTAATATTAAACGGTCAAATTTAATCTCACTGATACCATCACTTAGTGATATTGTCCTCTTGATTCTGTGAAAATTTCATTAATTTTTAAAACAAGAAATGTGAGAAGCATCCTACCTTAAATGCATTTTTGGATGAGCTAGGAATTTTTTGTTAAAACAAATGTAAGTTTCCTTGTTCAGACATTTCGTGTTAAGGCGGGACTCTATTCGTTATATAGTGAAAATGCAAGAATTCTTTGAAAATTCCCAATTGCATCTTATCCCACCTCTGATGTTCTAGAGGTCCATGTTTGGAATTGCTCTGCTCTTTATTTGTATTGTATTTGTATTTATTTGTATTGCTTAATGGACTTTTAAGAATTGTTTGTTATCGACGCATATTTCATTCCAAGAGAAACTAATTACATGATTATATTAAGGACAGATGATAAAAACAATTTTTTTCTTTGAAAAAGATTAAATATCATGTCACAAGCTGTACTTCAAAAGCCGTATTAGTAATATTTCAATGAAAAAACAAATATAGACAAATCACATTCAGGGTTTACAGTGAAAATAAATTTCATGAAAAGTGTAATATAAACTGCTTTTTATTAGGAAAAGCTAAATGGTAAAAATCAGCCTATGTGATATTGGCAATTTTTTGTCATTTTGATCTTCCTCTTAAAATTCACCTGGCTAGGTATATTTTTCTAAGGTTTATGTTACACTTTTAGCGCCAGGATAACATATTCTGAAATTTATTTTCACCTGTAAACCTTTACTGAATGTGATTTGTCTATATTTGTTTTTTTATTGAAATATTACTAACATTTTCTAAATCTATTTCATTTTCCAAAAAAAATTCTAAGAACCATCCACTTTTCTAAACTTGTGACATGATATTTAATCTTTTTTAAAGAAAAAATTTGTTTGTATCATCTGTCCTTAAGCAAAGGTGCCCTGTACTTCAAAAGCCGTGAAATTCTTAGCTCCTGGGTCAAGATTCTGCTTTTAGGACAGTGTATCTTCTATACTTCTCGTACTTAACTAATTGATAGTTATGACGACAATGATGCCTTCTCTCAAAATTGGGACACTCCTGGTCCCCTGGATCATGGCTTCTTGTGTTAAGGGCTTCATTATGTAATATATAATTATAACAGTAAGACTGCTTAATTATAATTTCCTTGAAAATCTTTTTCTGCTCATGGATGTATACTCAGCTAGGTGACCGTTAAAGCCGTTGGACGTCTTGCTCGAAATGATACTGGCATAAATTCCCTTCGAAGGGGACAAAACTTAAGTAAACCAGTCCCTGTTTTACAACCAACTCTCCAATAGTCCATTTATTACATGTACGTATTTTACAAATATGTTTTACATTGTACATAATTATGAAATGAGTGATAGTCAGTTCAGTATAATATTTATGATTTCAGGCTAGAATAGGATGGACAGGAGAGAAACAAACTGAGATATACTGTATCACACATGACGACTGGCTTCAGGTCTGGGACTCTGTTGAAGTGAGTACTGATTTTAAAATCAATCATCTTCGCTAGCCAAGGGTCTCTGATACGCTACTCGTCTTATGAGGAGAGTAGCGTATTAGAAACCCTTGGCTAGCGAAGATGAAAATCAATCTAAATGATTGTTTTAACTTTATACTAAGTAATCAGATTGTATACCAAGAAGTCAATAAAAGAGTATATATCTTTTTATCTAGCTTTGATGCACAGACTACAAGTGACGATTTTAAAGATTATCAGGGATAAGGAATCAAAATTGAATGTTTTTAATATTATTCATCCTCACACCATTATGGGTACTGAGTCGACTTGTGGCCATTGAACCCCTGACAAACTTTTGCTTCGTTTGTTTCTTGTTTTGTTTTGTTTTTTTCTTTGAGTTTTGTTTTTTGTTTTGTTTTTTCCTTTTTGTTGTTGCTTTCCTTTGCCGGCTTCTCTCGTTGAAAAGCACCAATCCAATAAGGGTCTGTATAAGTTTAGATAGAAAGTAAACAACAAGCGCACATGTAACAATAAGACTTATTGTGATTCATTGAGAGGAAAGAAGAAGAATCAGAATTGGGTATTTTTTCATAGAAATAGGTTGCACTGTCAGCCTGAACGAAATTGACTGGAGTTCATCATGGGTCTCACGGCCACAAGTATTTGTAACCACAACTGGACACATGATGCCTGGTATTGTGAAGATGAACATTATCAATAACATTAAATATCAATAAAATATTCTATTTTGTGTGTTTTAAAGGGAGACGACATCGTAGAAAGAAGAGATATGAGAGAAAAACTTCAGGTAAGCAAATAGGAAAGACCACTCGAATGGTCTTAAAAAATCAAAAGATAGAGTTGTCTGTTTGTTGCTAGCTGGAAATGAAGTACTTATCATCAGTTAAAGATAGATGAAAAATAAACTATAAATTTGGGAAGGACAATTTTTTTCACAATAATAATACGTTTTCCTTAAAGTATGTACATCTTTTGAGCATAAACTTTTGAGCGCTTACTTAATTTCACATATGAAAAAAATATGCAAAAGAAAGTGATAGAATTAGCAAAGGATTGCTTGTCATACATTTAATCATAACAATTTTAGTTCAATTTTCTTCGAGAGAAGTTTTTCATTAAAATTTTAACGATATAGAATTGAGTATTTTTGCTGCTCTATTTTGATCAATATGTCAGTTGTTCTAGAAAGAACCCTGAACAAAGGACAGCACCTCATAAACTTCTGACACACTGACAACGTCTAGAAGTCAAATATTAGAGAATCCTTCTTCGTGACCGTATTTTAAACCGACTTATTGAAAATATTATCTTAAGGTCAGGAGCCATTATAAATTTTTCTCAATCTCATCCGAATCTCGTACTATCTTACGAATCTTTTATATAAGATTCCGGCACTGTACATTGATTTATTAAGTTACGTGTTCCACGGGGCTTCCTCTGCTTGAACTATTGTACCGTATAAGATTTCTATCTCTGAGCATGTATCAGAATGAAATACAACCATGCGCTAACGTGGACTTTTGACAAATTGTCTCTAACTGTTATTGCCGATAAAGGTCAATTTTTAAATTCTGTCGAAAGACTTGTTAGGAAATATAATTGATTTGAATGCAGAGCTTTTCGGAAATCATTATTTTTACTAGAATTCCTTATTATTTATATATTTTTTTGCTATTCATTACACTTTTATATTGAATTTTTCATATTTAAAAAATGAAATGAAAGCGTTACAGACTGATGCGCATCTAGCTTGGAGAAAATTAACTTTTGTTGTTAGAGATGCATGTACCAATATTTTTTTTTGTTTGATAAACATGATGCTGATGACTTAAATACAACCAAACTCTCTATGAAAGAAAGTTCGGGTACATTGTTTTTATCCTGTTTTGTTCGTTCATCTGCACGTCTGTCTGTCACACTTTCTTCTTCCTCAAACATTGTATCATCTTGAACAATTTTGGAAGACGTCTGGGATGTAGATGTGCATTTAGGTTTCGAATTTCTTATTTTTCCCCTTTGAGTGACTAATGACCTAAAATCAATTAAAGGATGATTTTATAATTACTTTGGCTCATTTCTTTGTACACAAAATATAAAAGCGAGTATACATTTAGAGGCAGACACCTTAATGAGGGTATTCTGTTTTACGACAGCATCTAAAAAACAAATTTCAATGTAGGATTTCCTGAGAATTTGATTCCCCTCCCCTCCCCTCTCCCCAGTGTTATTTCTTAAAGTTTATATATTTACATTGTCATTAATTAATCAACGATTGGAGTTTTTGAAATAGACATTATGACAGAGTCAATAAGATAGGGCTCGCACTAATTAAACAACACTGAATATTGTTTCAACGACTTTGACAATAAAACTTACACGAGAATATAGATTATTGGGAAATGATAGTCGATGTCTCTTCCATATTCTCTCTTAATAGCAACATCTTTCAGAATAGTATAATCAGAATTATAAATCATTGAGTCAATAATTCTCTGTATTATACTTCTAATTGCTTTTTATTCTTTGTGTCTACTATTATCTGATTGCAGTAAATGTAAAAATGGATACTGAATTATGTGATGGGACATTCTATTGTGTTAATGTCCCATCTACGGGTATTTGCCTTGCTGTATTTGTAAAAAAAAGTTAATGTTGATTTTATTTTTAGATTAATTGCTCTGTTCAATCAAATGGGGTTAATATTAGATTTTTTTTTCAGATGAAGTAAATTCGCAATCATTTTATGCAATGCTTTTCAATATGCTTTTAAAGGGAAATAATAGTGAACTGGTTATTTAAAAACATCATAATTTAAAAAACAATAAAACTCTTTGCTTATTTTTTTTTTAAATATCAATATTATAATTCGGAAAAAAAACTCCATCAGGCTTGTACCATTCATATGTAATACATATATGAGTTGTTTTAATTAAATAACCTATTTTTAGGCTTTTCTTTGGAGGTTAATAACTGCGTTGGGTATCGTTAACCAGTTGGTATTCCGTCAGTAAGTTATGGCAGTGATTTCAATAACAGAGGTCATAAACCCCTCGATAATTGTACTTCAGTCATAGTCGATACTTCCTAAGTAACTAATGGACTTTCTAAGCGTGCCAATATCACACCTTTCAGGTATTCAGTTAATTTTGCTTTTCTATAGTGAAGGTACACGTTTGCGGGTAAATAACATCCATGACAGAATCAATTAAACGGGTAGCGTAAGGATTTCAATCAAGAACACAGAACATTTACAAGTGCTCAACAAACAATTACTTTGACGATATATTTAACGCGTCAGCGGCTTGCATCAACAATTGTGATTAAAAGTCGGTACTCTGTCAGAGAATTACGTCATAATTCTCATGCGATCCACTGCAGTTTTGCTGATCTAAGGATTTATTTACTTCCGCATTAGCAATAAAGTAAACCACCTTCAGTAATTTGTATTCTAAACATTATGTATAAATTCTTCTTTTTTTTTCATCATTGATTATTGATAGATAAAGTATATATTCTTTTTTTTCTTTCAGTAATTATTATTAAGTTTCTTTTTATTTTTGTGTTTCGTTTGTATATTTGTATCCTTATATAAAGTCAGATACAGATATTTTACTGTAATTAGGTCGCTTGTTTGACCGGAAAACTATACTTTTCAAGAAAAGCGACAAGTAAAAGTACATTTACTCAACCTTTTCTTTTGTTTTTATCTGCTTTTACCATTCGGTTGAAGAACGCCAGTTTAATATTGTCCGACTATTAACATGATTAACAAAATTTACTACTACTGATCGTAGAAGTAGTAGTATAACTATTAATACTATACTATTTCTTATGATTGAAGCGTAGAAAAACAACCTTGAAACTGATTTCGTCATTTTAACATTTTGTTGACTTAGATATCATCGATTTTAAAATGAAAGCAGCGAAAGATTTAGATCTCCGTTCTTTATCATTGTATAATCTGATCGTAAACGTGACGAAGAAACAGAAACATGCAATCAGTTGAGAGAATAACAAATCTTATTTTGGTTAACATTCGTGTACTCTTGGTATAAATAGAGCGAATCTCACCAACACTCCGGATAATGTCATAGAGTACAAGTGTCAGCCTATGTTTGTTTTTTGATAAAATTTGGGATTGAAATTTTAATCATTTTTAACTCATCTGTCAATGATGTCGACATTTATTTTACAAGGGTAATAACACTAAGAATGGTGGAAACAAATCTTAGCTTAGATAACGTTTAATCACAGAAAAACGGCAACTGAATTGCAAATTAAAAATGGCAACAGAGTCTGTCTGCAAGGATCACTTCATTTCTCTTGAGTTTAATAACTCTGTGATACACATTGACGGTGTGTTTCTGTGTTTCATTCAAGCATATATAGAGTTAAGTCGGTACATATTGTTAGGTTTAGGCTGATTCAGTACTGCTGGAGGTCTTCTCTTTATGTTGGCTCTTGGCAATTTTCTTTGGAGTCTGTTGGGGGATTAGCAGATTAACAATCTCTCTGATAATGAGAGGTTGGTCCCCCTGGGAGCTCTATGAAGTTCAGAATAACGAAGGGTTTTGTCAGCTGTTGGGCGTTATCTTTACTAATCTCCCTTTAAGTTGGCCTTGACTCTTTTTTCATCTTGAACTTTTAGGATGAAATGATAAAAGCAGAAATGTCATAATAATAGAATATACTAACGTTTACAAGTAGATGCTCTTTTATTCTTAATGATCGTAATGCCTTAGAGCTTAAGAAAAGAGAGGTAGAAGACTCTCCACTGGGATAGTGCATCAGAAAAGGTTCTTAATTCTATTCTATTGTTCGATTCCTATCGAGGTTTAGTATGTTCGTCAGACATAAATGGTCAAGTAAATTCTTTGCAGGAACATTTGTATGATTTAACAAATACTCACGGCATAAAGGCTTGAAGGGGTCCTTTTTCAAATTCTTTTTGTTTAGAAATCGGTCAGCGATCTGGGATTGAGGAAACAAATTTATTTGAACCTTGTCAGCTGAACATTGTGTACATGAAGTGAACCATGTTATTTCGTCGAACTCCATCGAATACCTTGAAATCGGTTCTCACAGCATGACTTATGTACTATAATGGAACTAAACTATTTCAGTAAAGTGCAAAAATAAATGTTAAGAATTTCCCAGGAAGGATACATAATATGTGAATTCTACTTCTATCTAATATGCCTTTATGATCCTGTCTGTTAGGGGTAGATAGCCATCTTTTACACTGTTCTAAAGTTGTCATGTAGGTCAAGTAAATTTATTAACGGTCTGCCAACATAAACTCTAAGTTGGTCTTTGAGTTGTAGCAACTGTATTCAACGGACATGAACTTGACTATTGTAATTTTTGATAACGTTTCATTCAAGTCTAGGTAATTTACACAAAGGGATTATAAATTGCAAGGTTCGGTAGAATATTGCAGTCTTGCTTAAAAACGAGTTAAAGTGGATTTCCAACATCTTTGGATTTCAAATATGTTCTAACACATGTTCATATTATTATTGTAGATAAGAGTTTAAAGCAAAAACTGAAATTAAGTGCATTTAATAATCGAAATTGTCAAAGAACAACAGTTAAATGGAGATAAATTTCTTAAATGTAACATACATGGTAAATGTCTTGAATAAATCTTGAAACAATTTATCCATTTCCTTATAAATTTACATAGAGAAAGAAAATTAAAATTAAATTTCTTATTTAAAATTGCAAAGCAAGAATAAATTTTAATTTCAAATTGGAAAAAAATTCTTAGAAATTTACAAAACAATACATTTTGGAAAACAATTTATCAATGTCAATATGATTTTGAGAATAAAGTATTTATAATGCTGATGATTTCTTTATTTTTTTAACAAGGGTACAGAGACAGTGGACTACATGGTGGATTGCTTATACACAGACAAGTTGTATCTCGTGATGGGCACTCACAGGTTGTACTTGCACTTTTCACTTCAGATACACATCCGCTTGTATGTTATCCACATCTCCCTTAACACATTCTAGCACTGTCTGGTTTTGTAATGTATTTGCCATCTTTCTTTGCAAAATTTACAGCATAATAACTTGCTATCATGTTGAAAAAGTTTTGCATTTACGTCCACCTAGTAAATTCAAAATTTACAACATGATAATACTTAACTGGTAGGTTTTCGTTAAAGCTTAGATAATGTTTTTTAGTAAAATTGCATTTTAACTTAAACATGAGAATATCCAAAGTGTAATCGTACATGATGGAGAATTGTATTGGTATTATTTTCCCAAATTTTCTTCATCAAAAGTCGAAAAAAACAAAGTTAAATTCATTTTGTTTGTATTTGTTATAGATAAAAAATATTATTACAAAACTTAAATTACATTCGTAAGAAGTATATTCATTGGTTTATGAAGTGAAAAATATACACAAAGAAGACAGGGATTTCGTATAATTTCAACGAAACCCCAAAATTCCCAGTACTCCAGAGTGTGGATTACCTCAAACAACATTCAATACACAATGTTATTTTGATCATATTGTATGATGTTCTTATGGAATTCTTAAATGAGATGTAGCAAATTTAAAGAAATATATTTATAAGTGGTCATTTATTTTTTAAAAAAGTACATTCCATTGGGTACAGAAGTAGCCACAAAATCAACATGTATTTAGTTTAATATTCAATTAGTTTTTGGTCCACAATAGAGAAAAATTCTATACAATATAACACCTAAGTCGTAAACTTAAGTATTGAATTTTTCTTCGCCGAAGGACCGATATAAAAAGTGAAAGTAACGGGTCTTTCGGAGGAGACCTAACAAATTAAGTATGTGTGTGTCATGGTAGGCACTTGGGTGATAAGAAAATTTCATTGCCTAATGGCCCTTATTATGGAAATAAAATTCAAGCACTTCTTCGGCATAAGGCAATCTTAAAATGAGTGAAAAGTTCTGGAATGGGACGCTAAACAACACACAATCAATAAATCAATCTTTAATATTAGTTTTTTTTTCGCTGGCATGGTGCATTGTTTGGCGCAATTAGGTATCCTTACGTTGTGGTTTCGAATTCAACTTCGAACGGTTGACAGGCGTTTCGAAAAGACCGTCTAAACCAATGCCAATTGTAGTAGTAACTATTATGAAAAGACCTCTAACTGCTCATTATCTATCATTAGTGCTGAGTATAGATGTAAATTGAAACCTTCCTCCGGCAACTGGTGGTATCCCGATAGCGAAAAATGCTCGAAGGAGAGTTAAAGCAAAGTATTTTTTCTCGACCAGTTTGAGGTTTGGAATTAGATGCAACACTCCTATATACATGAGTTTACATCGAAATCCATTCACAATAGCAAGAGATGTCATAAATTATGAATTCAAAGACAATATTAATTGCTTGTTTAGAGTTTATTCACCTTGGTGTTTTGGCAATGCCTTTATGATCAAAGAACCGTTAATTATCCGCCAAGTGGGATGCTATAGTTATGGATTAAGATTCTAGTGATTTTTACTTTGTTGTTAGTCACCACAGATATAAGATTTACCGGAATCTAATCTTTCATTAAAATAATTCTCCAGGAATGATGTTTGATTGGAAATTGCAATTCATCTTGTTATAGAAAAACAGATCTTGCAAGAATACGAGAAAAAAGAAGAAAACAATTTGTTGCAAAATTGTTTTGTTTTTTGCGCAATCACATTCATATGTTTGAAGTAGTATATTTTGTCTGCCTAGGATTTATGAATGAAGTATTACAGCTTACAAAAATTATTACGCAGACTAAACAATCCATCACTGTCGTGAAGATAAGCTGATGACGTCACTTTGGCAGGCTGATTCTTCTTGTTTCTACATCTGCATGTAAATAGAAAGAACATGATTTTGTTAACTTAATGATGTATTGCTTGTTTACAGTGGCGACCTTAAAATTATGACTAAAGACGATCCAGTCAACGTCGTCAAAAGTCTTAAAGGAGGCCACAAAGCAACCGTGCGATGTTTGCACTGGGATGATGCGGTATATGATTTTTATAACATAAACCTATTTTCTACAAAAGTTAGTGTTTAATTATGAAAAAGTTAAATTCTGAAAAAAAATATATTTGGAATACCTCTTAAGTTTCAACAGCTATTTATAAAGTTCTTGCTTCATGATGTCTTTTGTATATGAAAAAGGATACAAAATTTTTATTCTTTTATACGTGAACGTTTTGAGCTGCATAAATGAGTAGAAAAAAATTATCAAAAAGCGGGAGGTATATCAAAGTAAAAATGTACTCGAAGGAGCTTGTTCAGTAAGATTAACTGCGGAACAAATAGTTGAGCTTTTTTGTTTCTTCGTGTTTTTTGAAGACCCACACGTTGGTGACGGGAGGGGAGGACTCTTTATTATGTAAATGGAGCGACTGTGTTCAGCAGATGGCGCACAACAAAAAAGTGAGTGACAAACCTCAGAGCACAACGAAGCGGACATAATTGCTATGTTTGAAAGCTTTTACATATCAATGTTAATCTCAAAATAGAAAAATTGATTCAGTTAAGTAAACATACCAGTCTATATTTGGACTTTTCAGTGATTGAAATAACTCTTTATTTATTTTAGGTCAAGTTAAAAATGAAGAGCAAGGACTCAAAGAAAGCAAGACCCTATTGAAAATTGAGTGTTTTGAATTTTTAATGAATAAACTGTTCATAAACATTTTTATTTAAATATTATTTATATATTCGAACAAGAGTTTTCTGAGAAGTGCTCTTAAGTATTTGAAACCTGAAATCGTAAAAATGATTGTGGTAAAGAAGCAAGAATATACTATACATAATGAAAATGTTTTTGTACAAATCTTTTTAAACCTTTTGAATTTCATGTTTAATTTTTAGGCAGCAGTTCGCACAGGTCTTATACATTGGTTCCTATCTAATCTTCTTGTTGATGTTTAGAACGGAACATCTTCCTCATTAAATGACAAAAAAGGTGTACACAAGGCATTATAAGGGAGTTCTAGTTCATTTTCGAAAGAGCTTGTACATCGTATCAGTAAATTTACATCAGTACGGAGAGGTCACTAAATAGATAATAAATTTTGGACATGGTCGATTTTTGCGAACCGACTGAGCGGCTGGATTAGCTGTGTTATGATATTGACAGGTGGTATTAGAAATAAGAAAGCTTATCTTGATCCCGTTCATGCGACAGTTACGATTATTCTTAAGCCTTGAATTCCGATTGCTAATATGTTCGTGCAGATTGTTCAATATGTCCATTGAAGTGTATATTAAAACATTGCATATAGTCGGGATAATTGTGTAAATGCAAATGACGCAATGCAATATTAGAAATATTGATTTTAAAACTTAGATGGGTTATATTCAGTGTCATTAATGAAATGAGTTTTTCATGAAAAAAGAGAGGAAAACTAATAAAAAGTCGTACTTATTTCTAAGGTAAAGACTCTACAAGTACACTGATTATACCACTAAAATGGATCTATACAAAAATACTGTTCAATATTTTTTTTGTTTTTTTGGGGGGGGGATGCTAAATAATATATTTTGTTGTTAGACTTAGTTTTGGATTTATCCATATTTTTTTTTATAAATACTACATCATTAAAAAAATCTACGCTTAAAATTATTCATTGATACGGCACTATGACTTTGGTATTTGAATTCATGCAGTAATCTTTATACTTAATTTTTTTACATTAAATAACTATCTTTGCAGTTATTTTTTTTCTTTGGCGTACTTTATGGGGAAGAAATTATATAGAATAAATTGCATCAACATTATCAACACGGTTCAACTTTATTGGTGTTTTTTATGAATGCATGATTTGAAGGCTGTGCATCTGGAAAGTAATATCTTCACTTGTTAAATAATTTGCCAAAAGTTGTTCAAAGTCATTTAAAGAAATTGTGTTCAGCAGAAAATTTGCTGAATTAAACATGCATAGAATGGGTTCTGTGTCAGCAATTTTTACTGTGTTATATTTACGGTTGCTGACTCTGCGAGTTGATAAAGAATTGAATCAGGTATATTTCATTTATGACAGATATATCTAAGAGATAAAAAGAAGAATGAAACACTACACGATACGAAAGTTTTCACTCTATATCTCTTCAGTGATGTGTTGAAATGTATAGTCTAATAATACACCATCATCTTACGTAGATTTTATGTTTGCAAAGAATACTGACTAGAACTGATTCCCACCGCGTAATATATAAAATATGGAAATACAAACAGTAATCAAGGTCAAGGCTCCATTGAAACAATACAAATATGGAGCAGAGCAAACACGGGCCTCAAAAATTATCAAAGATGGGACTGGGTGCTTTGGAAAATAAAGCATCCCCTATCGACCGCTTACACTCGCTTTGTGCCCCTTTTATGAACAAAAACAAAGTAGATAGTTAAGTGTTCAAATAATTGCCTTATAATTTGTATCAAGAAAACGTCATTCTGCATTTGAATTAATGACAGATTATATTTGATGACTAAGTCGTAAAATCGTCGAATCGACGAAATTACGAATTCTTGACTCTCTTCGGTCATATAGTCGACCACAGAATTTACAAAATGTTGACTCTTGATGCAGTTGTTGATATCCTTCTTTCTAAACTTGTTTGTCGATAGCTCAGTTTATTTTGACAAAAGATAAGTAAGTCATTACGTTCAGCATAAAGTTTTGTTGTAAGGTCACATTTAACGTCTTATTTGGTTAGATATTCAAATAGGAAACCGATGTGTCCGACTCTGTGATGTTTTTTTCAATTTCATGTTCAAATGTACATGTGCAATCACGGTCCTTTCTGTAGCTTAATTAGTATAAATTCATATAAAAGGCAGAAAGTAAACTAAGTATGCAAATCCGCTAAGCCTACTTTTTAAAAAGCATGGTTCAGTATAATCAACATTCAACCTGTTTTTTTTTTTTGGGGGGGGGGGGGGGGGGCATGAAAAAAAAACGATGCATTTTAATCATTAATATCAATTTTATTAAGTTTATAACATCTACTGAGATAGAAGATGACATTTTTATCACGTGTTAACAAATTCATGTCACATCGCAGCCATTACTGTAGACTACATTGTGGCATCAGATTGATAATGGAAAATGAGATATTAACACAATATATTTTCTATAGCATATTTTATAAAAATCACAGATCTATTATTGCCGAGAAAACTTTTTTTCAAATACCATTTGCACATTAAAAGTTTCCATTAATGGTAAATTATTCGGTAAATAATGGCTTTATCACATGTGCCATGTAATAAATCCAAGGACGGTTTTCTGTGACTCTACAGGCAAAACAAATGTAAAAGTTAAAATTTCCACTTTGGACGGTTAGCCTCAAACTCATAACAAAATCTTCAAGGCACATTACGGTAAATAAAAAGACTAAAAAATTTTTTTAAAAAAATCGTAATACTTGGTTTTAAATAACAACTGATAAAATATTGTAACATAATTATGTAGTACATATATTAAGCTATGCTACAAAGTGAGGAATAAAAATAAACAACCACATTTTGTGTATGCAATACAAAATTCACATAAACCATGAATTCTTTTTATAACAAATTAAAAACGGTTTTTCACAAAACATGTCAAGTTTAGCAGTTTAGAAGCACTTTTAAACAAAACATAACTTCTTAAATCAGAAATTTCAAAATCATATTTTTGAAAACCTTTTCACAGTCGTATCTGAAGTTTCTTTGAAATGGCACAATAAGAGTTAAACAAAGAAAGGTATTAACAATTTTGCTGTTTTAACAAAACATCAACAAGGAAAAAAATAATAGCACTTAATTAACTAAAGAAAACAGATCAGCAGTCGATATATTTGTTAGAATATAATGTATTACACCCGTCAGTTTGGCAAAATTCACTTATGATACACTAAAATGTTCTTAAAGTGAACAACAAACAGATATTTCTTATACAAATGTCATCAGCAGAGTTTAGGTTGCAAAAATAAATGTTAACTTTCAATAAATATCAATTTGCCATTCTTTAACAGATGAAACTATTCTTTTCAGAATTCTACATTCAACATATATATATGAAACTACATGTATATGGACATGAATGAAAGTACAAAAAACTGTGACGCTCTGTCTTAATTTTTTTTTTCATGTAAAAATCCCTGGCTCTTTAACATGTTAAATATAAAAACATAAATGCAAAAAATATCTTTAATTCAACGGAAATTTACATATATACAATTAACATAAGTACTGTACGCATTTTCCTTTAACTTCATTCCCTTACTTTTATATTTAAAGTGCAATACGATAATGTAAAAAGGAAATGTAATTAAAGGAAAACAAATGTACTTAATCACGTGACTAGATTGGTGGGAGGAAATTTACAGTGTAATGTAATATAATATGCAATGTACTTGATATGAACTATTTTTAGAATTGTTTGAAGAAATTCATTTGATCGGGTAAGTATATAAAAACAAATCGGATTATCAGTTGTATTACCAAAATTCATCTGCCAAAGATGAAAAGCTTTGTGTTAATCTCATTGGATTGTTTAATCACTGCTACGAGCTTTTGAGATTGGAGTACTCTCTCTCTCTATATATATATATATTAGTAGTATTAATCAACTCAAATGGAGTTTAAAATTGAATTAAAAGACCATATCACAGTAGATTGGTTTGTGTTTGGCACTAATGCATCAGACACCTAGAAGGGTACTGAATCTTCACACCCAGATGCTTCGAAATAAGACCGATGGCCCTCGCCATTACCTTCATTATTTAAACTTTTAAAATGGCGGCGATTTTCTTAGAACAAGTGAAATGATTACAAAGCACCATGAAACTTTAGTGATAATCCTAGATGGTGTGAAACTGACCCTGATTTTGTGAAGAAATAATAATTTTTCAAGTAAAATATCCTCATTTTCAACCAATGGACATCAAGTCTGCCTGCACATCCGGGTCCCGGAGTAGCTCGTCGATTTCTTCCGGCATAACTCGGCGATGCTCGGATCGAAGGGATCTTCCTGAACGGTTTGATTTGTTGCTCTTTGTAGAGCGGGTCGACTTGGCACTCTTGGAGCTTCGGATAGACTGACGATGAATGAGATTTTGGCTAATCGTACGGTGGAGATTTTTGCTGCCGGCAGCATTAGCATTCGTTAGCCATTGGTGTTTTAGGGATTCCTCTGACGTCATCCTGTGTTCTGGATCGACAACAAGAAGTCTATCGATAAATTCTTTAGCATATGGTGTCACATCCTTCCAGTGCTATAAAAATACAAAAACTTCAATTATATACATGAACTAATATATAATAAATATATATAAATATATGGTCCAAGATATGACATTTTACATTACGCTTAACAACAGACATGCTGTAAGGAGATACAATACACTAAGAATTATCAACTCTTGAAAGATTTCTGTGATTTGGTGCAAGCATTATGAAATTTACAATGTTTTATTTCATTATGATGTCTTTTCTCTGTAGTCGACAAAAATGTTCCTTATTTTCAGAAGTTATCTTGTTCAGCAAGACGTGAATGCAATGTTACGTGAAGTTTCATCCGATCGATGCTTCTAAAGTGACAAAACGCAGGGAGCACCTTTGACTTCGAGGTTGAACATTTAGATAATTTTTCTAGAACTTTGGTAATAACAACATTATTCGGATTTCATCGTAACACAAAGCAATTCCAGATAAGAGACGAGAAATTATCTTACACGGGGGGAAAAGAAGCATATAGACACTGGCCGTAAAATGAAGGGTGCTGATACGGAATATACACACCTGTCCTGTTTGTTCTTGTTTAGCAATAGAAGTAAAAACAGGCTGGGCTTTTTATTACTAATGTCAATGGCATCTGTGTTACAAAAGTTATACATCTCTGCCACTGACGAGTAATTCTGACTATGGCCCTGTAAACAATTAGACCTGTTTTTGCTACAACACATTACCGTAATTCATACATGTCATTTCAGCATTGTTCGCCGTTTGACATACATTGAATTACGAGTTAGGAATAGCCACAGTAATTCGGTTATACTGTATAATAATATATTTTCGTTTTCTTGGCAAAGATACTTTAATTACCTTGTGTGAAAAAAAAGTTTGGCCTTAACTTGTATGCCTCAAGGATAGTTTACAAAGGATATTAACCTGTTTATTGATGGACGTTTCTTAAATGAGATTTGGCGGTGGTTGTTCTATGACCAAGAAATTCTTCATGTTTTTTTTTTCTTTCTCCGTTGGTACGTTATCCCATGCAGGTGTTAACGCAGACGATTAGGATACGCGCTGGAGAGATTATGTTGGTAACTAAGGGGATATTATAAGACAAGAGATTTGGAAAGAGTTGTAACGAACTCGCGATAACACCAAGCGCCAATTCATCCTTCATCCTAACGATTTCCATATGCGTTAACTCACTGAAAACAACATCAGAAGAGGTGTTGTGTCTGCGAACGGCGATCTTCCACTTCCTGTTGTATCGTTTCATTTAAGCATTGTTTTGCAGCAATGAATCAACACTCTTTTAAAGATTATCTTGAGATAAAGAGGATTTTCAGGGAGTGTTTTCTTTGCAAAAATAAATATTGACCAATCATTTTTGATAAGGGATTAGTTTGTCATTATTACTCATAAGTGATACATGTTTATCCTTGAGAAAACGGTGCTGTACAAAGTCTCGAAGGATTTTTTGTTTGTTTAATTTTTGGGTTTTGTTGTTGTTGTTGTTTTTTATTGAATGTTTCTTATTATTTATTTTAGGAAGTCTTAATTATAACCCATCAGTTCATAAAAGTGATATCAGAAAGCTTTATTGAAACTAGTGTTATTCGATAATTTTAATTAAAAATAGCGTCTTATAAGCAAGAATAAAGTAGGGCATCCAAGTTGGATTTCATCAATTCCTATGCAGTTTATAATGATAAAAACTATCTAATGCCTATCAAATGCACTTCCTATTCTATTTCTCTCGTTGCCTAAAGATTTTTTGCCATCACCTACATTTGGTTTTATAATCAAACTTTATCAAAGATAAATATGACCTTGTCAGAATGAAATATGGAAAGAGCGATATATCGATTATGGAGGAAAAAACATGGGATCTGCAATGAATTATTACTAGAAAATTGTTAAAGATTCTGAATGAAAATGTCTGATAACAAGATAAATGTGTGTGGCTATACATAGTCGTTATTCCGGTGCGTGAAGGTTATAATTGAAATAAAAGTTTGACTTTGTTTTCTTTTTTATCGAATATTTGAATGTTTATTCCCGAGGGATAATTACATAGATACAAGTATTATCCCACAAACAGGTTTAAATACCTATCGACAACAAAGGCAACTACGGGGAGTCAAAAAATGTACTTCTACAGGACAATTTTGACTTCATAATTGAATATAAGAAGGTTAGTAAAATGTTTGATTTATCGATTGAATTCGAGTGGAAAAAAGTAGAATACAGAAGTGTTCGTAAACATCTCATAGACCTAGATCGATACCCTTACCCTTTAATATTTATAGTGCATATTTGTTGTATAGTGTGGTCGCTAAAATAAATGAGATTTACCAATAACCTTATTTGCATTATGAACAAAAGGACCCCATGCATGCTTACTTATTGATGTTCTACTAGCAACACGTGTTCTTGTGTAACTATCGATATAATGATATATGACTTTTCTGTTTTGTTATTTCAGTTTATGGGAGTAAAGAAGCATCATATATGCATGAAAAGAAGGTCAAGGGCTGACGATTTTTTAGGGTAATATTTGCTGATTCGTCTATATCGATATTATGGCAAGGTCGTTGCAATCAATGCATTTTTGTTATACATGTAAAGTGATCTCAGGAAATGATAAGAGTTGAAACCAACCATAAGTTAAATTCCTGGAACTTTACATGATTTAGATTATCTCAATAAAGTTATGAATATGTATATACTTTCATTAAATTCAATAATTGTAATGAAAAAAATTAACCTAATGAGAGACCATTCATTATGATTGATTTTAAATAAAAGCATTGATTTCAAGAACAGTATTTTTCGGTGCTTTTGCAACTTTTTACGATTGTTTTTCCTTTTATATTCAGGCAATTGGGAAGGGAAATAATTAAAGTTTTTAAGGATTAAATCGTTTTTACATGTGTGCAATTTCAAAAATAATCTTACATGCAGTTTTGCTCTTGAAAACGAATAAATCAAAATTAAACCCACCGACTTTATCCGAAAACATTACACTGATAAAATACATGCTGATTTATTATATATAGACCATTAGAGAAATGTGTGTGGTATAATTTAAATATTTGTATGAATTCCTTTATCACAATTGTCTTGGAGAAGGGAAGTAGAGGATTCCGTTTGAAGTTTATATGAATTTTCTGGAGGTTTCACCATTATCTTTGCCGCCAATCTAACGATGTCAGTAGGTGCCCTATTTACTCATCCTAAGCAGTGACTCAACGGCAAGACGAAGCCGACATTTTGTGTCTTAGGTTTTTATGAGCAGAAACAATCCAGTCTTGCACCATCTGCATCCTAGCATTAGAAGTCTTAATGGATTAGTGGCTTGATATTTAGGTTGAAATTTATCTCTGCGAACGTCTTCTTTTCTTTTTATTTTAGTGGAGCACGAGGGAGAAGAGTGACTACATCGGATTTCAAAGCGCATCTATTGAGGGATACTTTGTTTTTACTCAAACATACTGAATGTACAAAGATCGCCATTTAGCTGTTTTCATTAAAATGAATTTTTATATTATTTCTCGGAAATGTTCCATTATCGCATTGTTTGCCCATACATGTTGTATATTACGTCAATCTTATTTAAGTTTAACTCAAAATTAATTAGACCTCTTGGTGCCAGGGCTTAGTGTTAGATTCAGTAGCAGAGGGTATAGGTGAAAGACGTGCCTGATTTTTAGATTACAATCTTAATGTTTGGTTCCAAAGCACCGGCAGAAATGGTGTATATATACAGACAAGTTAATCTCATAACGCCGTGGATTAGTGGTGAAGCGGCAACCAGCATCGCTTTAATGTGGCAAATCTTTTGTTCTTCTTTATCTTTTTTTCTGATCAAAAGATTTGCCGGAAACAGTATTTACGATGTGCCTTGATTTCATGGCCCTACGCTTTCCGTAGCCAGAACTTCTAACCGTTTGAAAGTCAACGTCTGAAATCGCGTGTTTATCCAAAGATAGCCATCTGTAAAGGTTGATGGGAATGGAAGACAGGAAGAAATAAGCATTCAATTTTTTTTTTTTTTTTTTGAACAAAGATGACTTTTTTTCTTTGCAAAGCAGGATGGTAAAGGTTGTTAAAAATGAACAGTGGATTTGACAGGGGTAGAATGTGTTTTAACGCTGCTTCTATTCACTTATACCGATGGTTCTATGGGGGAAAAATCAAAGATTTTGCCAAACTGTCAGTTGATAAGAAAGTATTTTTACAAAATCAACGCCACTTCAGGCCCCGCTTTTTTTCAAGAGGTCAAAGAAAACATTTTTTTTTGTATTACAATTAGAACGGAATTTTTATCTAACGGTGGTTATCGAGCAAAAAAAGCTGATTTAGATTATTGTGGGCCAAGAAAGTTGGACTACATAGAATAATCCAAAAGGGCACACATTGTGCACCAGAAAAATTACCAACCCCAAGATAAAAATTGAATGCTTGTTTAGAGATAACAAAACATACCAGGGGCGTTGTGTTCTAGTCGGCATAATTTTCATGGTTCACATTTTAAAAGGAATTCTTGCGAAAAAGATTCGGTGTTCATTGGTTTTCTTGTTCTATTATAAAATAAAGTTAACTTGTTATTGGCATCATAAAATATTTTATCGTGTGTTTTCTGAAATGTGCATTTTATAATTTCAAAATTTTAAATATAATCTTATCGGGTTTAAAAAGATTTTTGTTTCCGATTTTGTTTTGATATACTTTTAGAGTAGTTTTGAACTATGAACTCTTGCTACTGGCATACTCATAATATTTCTTATGTCCCATAACGCAAGAAGTATGCAATGGCGAAAGCACCTACAGCACATTATCATCAGAATTTTCAAACGTAGGCGGTTTTGATCCTTAAGCCTAATACCATTGTTGACATTAAGGACCAAAAGATGCTGAAAAAAATCTCCCACGCCAAAATTTTCACTACATTCATACACACCTCCCCGGCATAGCTGTATTTTGCTTTGAGGATGAGACGATATAATCTTGTTTTGTTTTCATCGTCAAATGGCATAGTACCACTAAGTAGAATGTATGTTATCACACCGACGGCCCACATGTCCACTTGGCATGTATAAGGTTTCCTGGCAATAATTTCGGGTGCAATGTATTCGGGTGTGCCACATGTGGTTCTCATGAATTGATCCGCTCCTTTTTTCGTGGCACTCAAACCGAAATCAGTGATCATAATTTTGGAATCATGACCCGGATGATAATAGAGTAAATTTTCAGGTTTCAAATCTCTGTGAGTAATTCCTAATCCGTGCAAGTATTTCACACCATCTAAGACCATGGTCAGTACCCTGGTAGCATCCTTCTCACTGAAGGAACCTTTCGCAATAATACGGTCAAATAATTCTCCACCAGTTGCTAATTCCATAACCATATACACTTTATCCTTCGTTTCGAAAACCTCAATTAACTGAATTATGTAATTGTGTTTCACTCTCCGAAGGACCGCTACCTCCGATTCGAAAACTTCCCTCCCTTGCACTCTGTCCAGCATTTTTATTGCATAAGGCTGCTTGGACACCCTGTGTTCAACTCGGACAACTTTGCTGAAGTTGCCTCTTCCAATTAATGCCTTTATATCATATTTTGCCGTCACTCGTGGATCAAACTTATCACGGTACTTTTTCACTTTTCGGTTATTCCTCTGTCCGTTTTGTCCGTCCGTCGGTGGCCCGACGGAGTCCCTTGCATCCTTAGAATGCTTCTGATGTGGATTTCGATGATTGTATTCTCTGTTGCGCTCATTGTTATAGACCTGTACGACGGATTGATTCCCCGGGCCCTCAGGCACCAATTTGGAACTCATACAACCCATCACAAATCGAAAATATTTAAGTTCGACATCCCCTCGGGGAAATTTGAGGGGACCATTTGTGCGAATCAAGGGAGGAAAAGAGATTTGCTGTTACGTTATTAGAATCCACATTGGTTCCATTAAATCCACCATATTTTTCAGATTTCGGCCTCAGCACTACTTTTCTGTGAGCTCCACGCCAAAGAAACCAATTTTCACGAGTCGCTTTTATCGATCCATTTCAATATCTTTCGTGATAAATACAAAGTGCTTCCATAAAATATTTAAATATCCCCTTAAGTTAAAAAATGAACACCACTCTAACAAATGAAAATTTCGCTGTTTTGGATTTTTTTTAAACTGCGGAGTAATATAAACCCATCTTTCACACGTGACTGAGTGTGTTCAACGTCACAAGTTGTTATAACGACTATTGGGGTTCCTTAAAGGCTCTGGGTAACTGTTTGCTTTGGAAATAAAAATAACAATGAAAGCAGATAAGATTTGTAAACGTTGCTGGAGTGTGCCAGCTGATCAGTTTGTCTTACTGCACTCAAATTTACTCAGCCTAATGGGATAGGCGAAGTAATGGCGCCGGTTTCTTGGTTAATTGGATAATCCATTTACCTTTGTGTAGCCCACTATCTTCTGCAATTCAATACACAACGTTTTATTCAGAAGAGAGCTAATTCGCGTATTATTGATTCTACACACCGGTAGTTATAAATACAATGGTATTTTCTTCAAAGCATTGAGAATTGGGGTCTTCTTAAAGCTTGCCAGGTCTTTACATGTGTGTATTCCCCGTACAAGTGTACGTAAAGGGGCATCGGCGGCAAATTGAGTTTAATCCAATAAAAGTTTTTGCAAGCTAAGTTATTGCATTATAATAAAGACTTTCTTATCTCTGTCTGATAACACTTTAAAGCCCCTCTGCCGTGAAATATTTAAAACCGACCTGCACATATAGTTGATCAATTGTATGTTTATTTACTTGGGAAAACTTTATTTACATTTTGTCCTGTTCTCTTGAGGTTGTGTATTGTATTAAATCCTGTGTTGCATGACTTAAGATAACACTCTAGTTCCATACATTTAGCGCCCCTTGGGTTGAAAAAATTCTTTTTACAGCGGAGCAAGGGATTATTCAGAAAAGAAAATAATTGCTTTAAGCCTGGTTAAGAATTCTACAAACAAGAGATTTAAACAAATGCTTGAACTCTACGAAATAGCGGATTGTATGATTATGGTGTAATGACTCATATGTTTATTTGTGTATTCACAATTCATTTGTAGGCGTTACAAGCAGACTGATAAAGAAATTAAACAGAAAAAGTAATTTTTGTGTTTTTAATTTGGTCATTACGTAATTTTTGGATTAGAGATGAAATATCCTCTCTCACTTAGATTCTTTCGGGATGATTAAAATCCGCTTAAAGAAAAAACGAAAATAGCTCAGAACATTTATTTGTGTTATATATTTATATCTTAAAAAGTATGATTAACAAATAGAACTTTAATATTACTGATGCGCACATCCGTTTTGTGACGTCATGTGATGCAATGTTCGTCATGGTGGTTCTAAGCAATTTATGCAATTATTGGTTTTTATTCACCCTCGGTACATTTCTAGACGTTAACATGGAGTTTTAATTCATTTTCTACCATCTCTTAAGGCAGGTCCACCCTTTTACGGATCCGGTTTTAATTTTACACACCGATATAAAATTTTGATTATCCTTGTCTATTGAAATAAAATCTTTTTGGATGATTTAAAATGATTTAGCAAGTATATATTTGTTTATTATAGTGTCATTGTGCACACAAAAAAGCATTTAATGTACATTATTTATAGGAATAACCACTTTGCACTCTGTCCATAGGATCTATATATGTAATTAAGTACATACACAGACAGAGAATTCTTAATTGCCGTTATGGACCTAAAGCTTTTAATTTTTTTTAAACAAACTAACTTGATATCTATTTATCTTTAATTTTTAGCCTATATCATCTTTTTAAATTTACTTTTTTATAAGTTTTGCTAAGAACGATTGAAAAATTAGATATTCCAAAAATGGGGGTATAGGTGTTCAAAAGGCTGTTTTGTAAAAATTTTCTGGTCAACCATGATAAAGTATGTTTTTCTGCTAACCTAAGATATAATTCTATATAATTGTGAAGAAAAAATAGCATATAAACATAAAATATTTTGAGAAATATTTAAAATAAAGATATTTTGAGCTTTTTCTCTGAAAGATTTTGACACAATCAGCATCAATTTTTTAGTGTTTTCAAATAGAAGTTTCAAATATTTTCTTGACAAATGAATATTTATGATTTTCCTAAGTTTTAACAATAATTGGATGTGATTTGGTACATAGCTAAATAAAATATGATGTTACACTTCTATATGTCGAATTTTGACTGTTGAATTTTTAGAGGTATATACTCCGAGACATGTTGCATGAAAATTAACCTGCAAAGATATGTTTTTTATGGATATTTTAGTTCGATTATGACTTATTCAAGATTTTCAAATCAAAAAATAAACAGTTTGACAGAAAATTCTGAAAGTACGGACCTACCTTAATTGATAACATCTTTAACAAAACCAACAGTGACAATCTAAATTTTGGGAGTTTGCAGGTTTTCAAAATAGATTCTGAATTTGCAAAATATTTTGCTTTTTGTCCTTTTAAAGTTATTGGCAAGAATCTTTTCTTATGAGATGTCAATTTGCCTTTACAGATTAATACAAGGGCAACCTTGTCTCAAATTGCAACGTTAAACTTTTTTCAATGAATTAATATTACACTGTCAAATATACGTGTACATGTAGAACTTGACAGTTGAATATACTTTTTATGCAGTCTTTGCTGGTTTGACAATACTTATTCTATAAAGGAACAATTGAGTATATATATTGAAATCAATACGACCAATTAACCTGATGAATAAGCCTTTAAGTGTCGTGAATTAAAAGACCGGTTCTGTTTTGTTAACCGGTGCATTGTTTACGTTGGGCAATTCACATCCAATACACAGCTGCAATGGACAGGTGCCCGAAATCCCTGAGAACTTTTGTAGGCATTCTTCATATCTTTAGGAATTCATTGCATTCCTTTAATCGAAGTTTGCTGTTGTTTTAAATTGCTGTATTTATTTAAATAAAATTTTCATGAAAAATTTGAATTTACTGATACCCCGTAAATTCAAAATGTATTAACATGACAACTTGTTGCACTTTTATGAATGATTTTTTTAAATGATGAACCGGAAAGTTGTAAGAACTTCTTTCCAATCTCTTTGGTTCATTTAATAAAATGTGTTCAAAACAACACAGTAAAAATCTTCATTTTGAACCCATGATCATGATTTAGTTGATTTAGTTTTGTTGTAAATTCTTTGATGACCTTTGTCAAGTAAATTCAAAAATTACAACAGAAAAAAATCATAGTTGGTTTCATTTTTTTTTTAAATTGTAACTCAGAATGCCAGTTTTATAACTAAGAGATAATTTTAGTTTATGTATTGATTAAGGAGTTTAAATTTGTTTAGCTTTCATGTTCTTTCATCCTACATGCGATATCAGAATTCCAAATGAAATGTGAAAACCCTTGTGGCCAGGAAAATGAGATCATTTACGCTGTGGCACTCTAATTTACCCAAACACTCATTGATTTATATTCTCTTTGCATTACCAACTAAGCAGTTTTTTTTCATATGTTTAAAAAATATATCAAATATTAATTGTTCATTATTAGCAACATTCTTGTATTTGTATTTTATTTGAAATGGAGACATTACATCTCATAGGTATACAATATACATACATAAGATTTGTACAGGCTATACAATATACATGTGTTAATTACATAACAATATCATTTAATTATTATTTAGAACATCATTTCTTAATTGATGAGAAAAGTACAAAAATTTGCCCAGGTCACATAGTTCTTTAGTATTTGTAGAACTCAGTAGCTGTACTAATTTAAATACTGATGGTTTTTTAAAATAATAACTCTTAACATATTTAATTCTAAATTCTTCATATCGAGGACATTTTAATACAAAATGAAATTCGTCTTCTATCTCACCTGACATACATATTTTACATTTTCTATCTTTTCTTTCTATATTACTATACCTTCCCCTTTCTATTCTCAACTAAATGTTGAAATAGAAAATATTTAGGAGAATTACAAATTCTTGCTATAATTTCTTTTTTATAACAGTCATACATTCTTTGAAATATAATGTTCAGAGTATTATTATCAATACAATCACTATTATACATGTCAGCTAAACCAAGCCTTTGGAATTCCTTCTTAATGTTTACAATCCATTCATCATTATTTTCAACTATATCTTGATAGCATGCTTGTAATATACAATTATCACTGTTTTTTAATTTCGCCCAGTATTTCAAAATTTTCTTTTTCCTTTCAAGTATAAGTTCATTTAAAACCAGGTCTTGTGCAAAAGTTAACGGAGTAAACCTCTGTCGAAATCAACTCTAATTGTTAATTTGATTATTCTGTCGAAAGATTTTTGGCACTAAAGCAAATATGAAGGAATTTCAATGACAAAGGAGACTACTATTATTAACTTGATACAGAAAACTCTAAAATGATAATAAAACTTCTTTAAGTAATACAAGTTTTATACATTTTCTCTTTGATACCAATTGCCCAAATATTAAACCTTTTTATAATTTTTCTTATTCATATGAAGCAGCATTTATTCAAAATCCTGTACATGAGAGGAAGGAAAATTGATATTGCTTTCAACATGGCATTAAGACGTAGTATCTAACATTCATATGTTCACACTTTAAATTCTAAAGAGTTTAATATAAGAGATACATGTACTATACAGTCTGAAACTCAGTTCCATAATTGAACATTCTTCTAGAAATATAGGTTAATGGTAAGTCTAACCTAACAACGAAGATTTATGACAAACGTACGCAATGTTTTCAACTTTTCAATTGTCAACTTCCAATACTTATTGGAGCAATATACTCTAAATCACCTGCATATGGGTTTTATATCTCTCAGTTGATTCGATATGCAGAACATTTTCAACGTGCAAACAATTTCTAAAACGAAGTAAGTTATTGAAAAACAAGTTGGTGAAACATGAATATCAGCAGTCTCGTTAAAAGTCAACATTTTGCAAGTTTTACGGTCGATATAAAGACCTTGTTAGCAAATACAATCTTTCTTTAAGTCGAATGCTAATGGATGTTTTTCACACATATATTTAGGCCATTTCTTACATCCTGAGTTGTCTACGGATTTTTTCCCGATCATGACAAGGAGCACACGGCGGATGTGACCAG